CCCGACAGAGTCCTGGCAGGGTCGGGCCACGGACGCCAGAAACCCTGGGCGCGGCCCCTGGGGCCCCAAGAGCGCCCCAAGGAGGCGCAAAATAAGTGGCAGGCCCCACGGCCTCAAGCCAAGAGCGTTCCAAGATGGCCCAAGTTGGTTTCAAGGCGGCCCAAGAAGCAACCAAAACGCCACATGAGGGCCGAGAGCCCAAGAGGGCCCGAAGAGGTAAAACTCAGTGATGTTACTTGGACTGTTGACAGATTTTGGCGTTACCGCCTTATCAAGCATCCAACCACCCATGACCGCCCAAAAAACCTCCAATATCCTCGCCAAAGTCAGCCAACGTGGCTCCAAGGACGGCCACGAGACGTCCCAAGAGGGCTCCAAGACAGCCCAAGACGCATCCCTAGAGGGCTCAAGAGGCTCCCATAAGGGACCCCAGAGGTGGAACCCGAGGATCAGGAGGAGCAGGGCAACGACGAAGAAAAGACGAGATGGAACCGAGATCAAGAGAGACCGTCTCTGGGAACAAGTTGGAAAGTTAGGAGGCAACTCCTGGGATGCTTTCGTAGGAGCGGCTGAGGACGATTGAAACAGAGTCAGGCAACACTGAGCGGGGCAGAACGAGAATTGAGCCCACGACTGGGCCGAAATAGACGGGGCTAAGCGGGATTTGATAAGATTCGGAGCTCGACTAAGCTGGACTTCAACCACGGAGATACGGTCAGGAATCTTCGCTCAGCGTGTCGCGGCGACGGCCCCGGCGACACGCCACGGTGTCTTTCCGCACCGCGGGGCGGGAGGCTCGGGAGAAGCTCGGAACGCTTAGCTCACGCTCGGGGACCCGGACATGGACCGCGCGTCGCGCCGAAGCGTGGTGGGCCAAGAGCCAGCGGCGCGGCACGCCATGCCAAAAATCCCGACCTCAGTCGAATCAAGAAAAAACGGATACCCATCGGCCGGAGGTCGGTAGAAACGTGGAGTAGGAAAGCGTTGAAAACAGATTGGGTGCCCGCCCAGCCCCTAAAGAGGACGGAAGAGGTGAAGCCACTCGATCATTGAAGTAGGAAGGCGCAGAATTTGAATAGGAGGTCGACTACAAAGTCGATTTACCCCCAGATTGGTTTCCTCGTCGAATCCATTGACAAAAAGCATATATAAGGTTCGTAGATCTACGCCACCTTCTACGAATTGTTCATCGATTCGACGAGGAAATCATTTCTGGGGTAAATCAATGATGTAGTCGATCCCCTACTCAATCAATGTAGATTGAAGTGCCTACTGGGAATCCAGAAATGCTTACTCTCAACTCTGACTTTCAACTCTGTCATCGATCCCCTACGAGGAATCCAGAAATACCTACTTCCAACTCTGTACTCGATCCCCGTACGAGGACTCCAGGAACACCTGCCTCCAACGACCGATGTGTGTGCGCACCTGCGCTCGGAGCTCCGCGCGCGGAGTCCTCTCTTGGATCGGCCCTGGAAGCCCCCCCATATCCCTGGAGCGCGAAAAAGCGCGCCGGGGGCGCCGCCGGAGGTGGCGCCAGGAGGGCCCCGCGCAGATCCAAAAACTCGTCGTCGTCGTCGTTCAGGACAGCCAGCTCGAGGTAAGATGATTTAAATACGTAGACCCTCGGCCACCAGACGAGGACGCAGCAAGTTTTGACGCTCGTCGCAGCCCCCTGCTCGCATGGCGCGCCCCAGACAGGCGAGATAGGGCAACCGTGCCCTGCGAGTCGTCGTCGTCGTTGTCGTCGCCATTCAGGGTCGGCGGCACCGGCCGCAAGGCCTCCGCAGTCTGCGCGGAGCTCTTCCACGACCCTGCGCCCGTGACGGCCGGCCTTGTAGTAGGTCGGGCATGTCCTCCTACAGGGGGGATTGTGTCAGGTACTAGGACGAAAAATGAAAAATAGTCAAACCAACCCAAAACATGCTCAAACATACTAACAAAAATCGTCCCCGGATTGTTGCTTGAGTCTTTTTGAATACTCCTCCTGTGGAGAGAGGCGCCCGACGTAAGCCTTGTGTTTGCTTGGTGTCTTCTCGCAGCGACAGGCGCTTCGTGGCGATGCCGTTGCGCTGGCTCCCGCTTCCGCTGACACTTCCTGGGGGCCTCGGCGCCCCCCTCGCCCCCCACATCCCTCCTCGGAAAAAGCACCAGGAGCGGGTGGAAGCTGCCTGTTCGCGGCTGCGCCGAAGCCCATGTGGCGAGTACCCTGCTTGCTTCTGCAGCCCCTGACGCACAGGCATATGAAGTGCTGATTAGTACGATTAATTTCTTATCATCATTATTTGATTATTTTCTTATCATCATTATTATTCAGACTACGAGTACGACTATTAGAATTACAATTGGTATTCGTATAATCATCATCCTTATGATTATCATTGGTATTCCTTTTCATCATACGATCCGAATCTGTTAGGTGCTTTTTCTCATTTACACCTGCATTATCAATATTGTCATTCACATTATTCTTATTCGTATTCTTATTCGGCGCGCTGGGGCCGATGCCCCCCCGAGGAGCTGCAGCCCGACGCGCCCGCTTCGCGAAGCGGCGGCCGCTCCGCGGCGGCCCCACGTCGAGCGTCGAGCGGCAGGGGGGGGGAGGGAGGCGGGAGGGAGGGAGGAGGGAGGATAGAAGGGGAGGAAGGGGGAGGGAGGAGGGAGGAGCGGAGAAGGAGAGGGAGGGAGGGAGGAGAGGAGGAAGGGGAGGAGGAGGGAGGGAGGGAGGGAGGAGGAGGAGGGGAAGGGAGGGAGGGAGGAAGAGGGAAGGTGGAGGGGAGGAGGGAGGAGGGAGGGGGAGGAGGGAGGAGGAAGGGAGGGAGGGAGGAGAGAGAAGGAAGGTGGCAGGGAGGGAGGGAGGAGGGAGGGAGGGAGGAGGGAGGAGGAAGGGAGGAGGAAGGGAGGGGAGGGAGGGAGGGAGGGAGGGAGGAGGAAGGGAGGGGAGGGAGGGAGGGGGGAGGGAGGAGGGTGGCGCGCCGTCGGGGGTGGCGGGCCTCCTCCGGGCCACCGGCCCCCGCGTCCGGCCCGCGTGCTCCCACGGGGCGGCGGCCTCCGCGGCCTGGCTGCGCTCCAGAGGCGAGACCTCGCTCTCGCCTGCAGGGCCGATCGCTTCCTCTTCTCGATTCCTCCTCCCCCTCCTTCTGTCCCTCCTCCTCCTCCTCCTCCTCCTCCTCCTCCTCCCCCTCCTCCTCCTCCTCCTCCTCCTCATCATCAGCCTTCTCCCCCTCCTCCAAGATGTTCCCAAGACGGCCCCCAAGACTCCCAAGAGCGCCCCAAGAGGGCCCCAACATTCGCCAAGGACGCCCCAAGAGGCCCCCAAGACGGCCAAGATGGCCCAAGATGGCCTCCAAGATGCCTCCAAGACGGCCAAAATGACCTGCGAGACGGCCAAGATGGCTTCCGAGACGGCTAAGATAGTTCTCAATATTGCTCCAAGACGGCCCAAAATGCACTCCAGACGGCCGAAGGTGGCCTTCAGAGGGCCCAAGACGGCTCAAGAAACCCCGAAGAAGCCAAGAAGCCTCCAAGACGGCCCAAGAGGCCTCAAAAAGGGTATGCAGGAAGGGGTGAAGAGTTAAAAATCTTAGATTCGCCTGAGGTATTTGAAGGATTGTTGTATTGGTGACTTTTCGGATTTCCGTCGGCCCGAGATGGCCCAAGAGGCCCCAAAGATCGCCCCAAGATCGCCAAGAAGCCTCCAAGATGGCCCCATGACGGCCTAAGAGGCCCCTAAGACGGCCCCAAGAGGCCTCCAAGTCGGCCCAAGAGGCCTCCAAGACGCCCAAAATGGCCTTCAAGACGGCCATGAAGCACCCCAAGAATGCTCCAAGTCGGTTCAGAGAGGCCCCCGAGACGGCTCCCGACGGCGGCAGATGGTCCAGGAACGCCCTAAGACGGCCGAAGAAACTCCCAAGGAGGCTTCCAAGGCGCCAAGAGAGCCAAGGAGGCCCCCAAGACGCCTCCAAGAGGCCCCCGGGAAGCTCCCAGGAGGCCCCAAGAGTGCCCCAAGAGGTTTCCTGGAGGCCTCCTCCTTCTACTCCTCCTCCTTTCCTCCCTCCAAACCTTGATCCTCCCTCTCATCCTCCCCAAAATGTTTCCCCAAGGGTTACCAGAGCGGCTGGGGGGAACACATAGTCCGCTAGCTTGGCCATGCTGGGGCCCAACATTTAACCACAGAGGCACTTCCCAAAAGGCAGGGGGCGAAGGTGTTTCGCCGCATGCGTTTTCAATGACTATATATATATAGAGAGATAAATAAATACATATACGACCACCCTTCGGGTGATAAGGAGGTTCGGGGGTGAGAGGAACCAACGTCTCACCCGATCGGTCGCACTATCGATCTCACTATCGATCTCACTATCGGTCTCGCTCGATCGATCTCACTCGCTCGATCTCACAATGGATCTTACTCGATCTATGTCACTCGATCGATCTCACAATCGATCTGACTATCGATCTCACAATCGATACCACTATCGATCTCACTATCGATATCGCAATCGATCTCACATTCTGTCTCACTGTCGATCTCACTATCGATACCACAATCGATCTCACAATCAACGTCATCATCATCATCATCAACATCGTCGTCATCAACGTCATCAACATCATCATCATCGAGACACCATCGTCATCATCATCACATCATCACCATCATTATCAACATCACCACCATCACCATCATCATCACCGGGGCACCATCATCGTCATCATCATCATCAGCATCATCTTCATCGGGGCACCACCATCATCATCATTGGAACACCACCATCATCATCATAATACCATCTTCATACAACATCATCAACATCATCAGCACCGTCGGGATACCATCATCCCCATCAGCATCATCCTCATCATCCACATCACCAGCATCATCGGGACAACATCATCATCATCAACATCAGCATCATCTTCATCACCATCATCGGGCAACCATCATCAAAATCATCAGCATCACCTCATCATCAGATGCGTCATCAAAATAAGCATCATCGGGACACCATCATCGTTATCATCATCATCATCAGCATCATCATCATCGAGACATCATCATCAACAGCATCATATTAACCTCATCATCACCATCATCGGGGCAACATCATCATCATCTTCATCATCATCATCTCACCATCATACCATCATCATCATCAACATCATCAGGATCATCAACATCATCATCATCATCGGGACACCATCACCATCAGCAATGATCATCATCAACATCATCATCATCATCGGGGCACCATCATCATCACCACCAGCACGATCATCATCATCAGCATCGTCAACATCATCATCATCATCATCATCATCATCATCATCATCGGGACACCATCCTCATCACATCACCATCATCATCATCAACAACATCATCGACATCATCATCATCATCATCATCACCATCATCATCATCATCATCATCATCATCATCAACATCATCGGGACACCGACGGGACACCGGCGGGACACCGGAGGGACACCGCGCGGCACCGGTTGCCGGAAGGGAGACTTTTGGTCGGGCCGCGCCTCAGCCACAGCTTGACACGGGCGGGACACCGCGCGGCACCGGTTGCCGGAAGGGAGACTTTTGGTCCGGCCGCGCCTCAGCCTCAGGAGACTTTCTTCTCGCCCGCCCACGCAGCTTCGCCTCGCCCGCACGCACGGCACGCACGAACACGAAACCGACACAGATTTCCAAGTAGGGGGTCTCTCCGTTCCACTTCGATCTCACCCCCTCACCTTCGGAATTTCGATATATATATATATATATATATATATATATATATATATATAAATTACATACATATATATATGAATAGATATATGCATATACACATATTTATATGTATGTAGACGTGTATATCTAGCTTGCGTACTAGGTAACCAGGTAGACTAGACATGAACACAGACATGCACATATAAGTGTAGAGACAAATCTTTATACGTATCTATTCAAATTCAAATTTATATATATATATATATATACATATATGGACATGTACATACATATGCATGTATACAAAAATACCCGGCTAGGTAAATATAGACATCTCCATATATATGTAGATAAACAACAGGGGATCTATATACATACACATATCGATGGATCGATAGATAGATAGCTAGATGCACACATCTGTAGGCATGTGTAACCATCAGGGTGAGGTGGCCGAACGGTCGTTCACTGTCCCTGGGTGCGTGACTGAAGTCGGGCTCCGCGGTGTGGCTTGTTGCTTATGCGTTGTTGTCATCGTCCTCGCCAGCGACCCGCCCGAGGCCGACCCGCGACCCACCCCGCAACCGCCCCACGACTTACCCTGCGACCCACCCCGCGACCCACCCGCGGTGCTTTGATGAAGAAATCGGCGCCCGCGGCGGGCTCGTGGAGCAACGTGTAAAACAAACATGTGAGCTTGCGGCGGGCTCCTTCAGAACCTTGCAGGCTGCCGACGGCATCGCCGACCCCTCTCTCTTATCGGAAGTATGTTGTTCACATTCGCTCAATCTCTCTCTCTCTCTATCTCTCCCTCCCTCCCTCTCTCCCTCCATCCTTCCGTTGCTATGTCGATCGGTTATGCTAGTATGTTGGTACTGTGTATTTGTCCATCTCTCTCTCTCTCTTTGTCCTTATCTCTGCGTAAACATCTAAAACCATGTGTATGTATATTTGTATATGTATATACAGAAATGTTCCATGACTACACTCGCTCTCTCTCTCTGTCTCTCCCTCTCTCTCTCTCTCTTCCCCCACTTCTATCGTCATCCTTCTCTCTCTCTCTCGCTATCTCCTTATCCCTTTCCCGCTCGCCGTCTCTCTCCCCCCTCTCTCTCTTGATATCTAGATATAGATCTTTCTACATATATAAGTGTACATATATATATATATATATCGTTCTATCTCTTCCTTTCTCGCGTTCTTTCTACCGCCCCCTCCTCCCCCTGCCCCGATGGCACCAACAAAGACGGGAGGCGAACACCTGGAGCGTCCAGTCTCCGTACCAAGCTCTCCAAGAATCGCCGAAGTGCTCGCCAGCCTGAGCGAAGCCTTGAGACACGTGGCTCTGGTGTGCCTGGCGGGCACGCGCGGGCGGACAGTCACAATACATCCGGGGGAGACGTCGGCACGGGTGGCAACACACGCGCGGTCTTGTGACCCATTTCCTTCCGCCGCCACCTGGCAACTCCTCCAGAAGGCTCGCGGACCACGGCCAGTGGCAAAGAGGCTGGCCGAGCAGCCGCTCTGGGCCACGAGGAGCGCGAGCGGAATGCCCTGCTGCACGGCTGCGTCATCCTGTCCCTCCTCTGCCTCCCCCCACCCTCCCTGTTCCGCACCGAGTTCCCTGCAGCCCTCGCTGGGCGCCCCTAGGCGCGTAAACGTCGCCACTTTTACTGCTACCCTCGATGGCACCCAAGTGATACGTCGCGTTGCGCTACGGGCTGCCAAGAGTGCAGGTAGAGGCCTCCTTAATGGGGTCCGACAAAAAAATAAAGGCAACTCGAGACCCTCCCAGAGGCCTCCTGAAGGCCTCCCAGGGGCCTCCTAGACCCTCTTGGAGACCCTCTGGAATGCAACTAGCGGGCTCTTAGAGGCCACTACATGCCACTTGAGACCCTCCTAGGTGGGGTCGGGCGGCCCGCATCGGCGATGCATCGGCAACTTCGGCCGATGCATCGGCGCCGTCGGCGTGGATCGGCGGCGAACGAGGGGGGGAAATGAAAAGGGGCTGGCCTTCACAGAACTTCTGAGAAGTTCTGTAAGCTTTTCCCGAAGACACTGATAACGGTTCAGAAGGCGCGAGGGCTTCTGAGAACTTCCACCGCCTTGTGACACCCCCATCTCACTTCCCCCCCTTCGCTCGCCGCCGAATGGAGAACCTCGGACTCCACATCGAGCAGCATCGGCGGTGCATGACGAGCGATGCGGCGCGATCCTCCAAACCCATCTGCCCGAGCAGCGGTCGCCATTTTCCTGCGGCCCCGACGTGTCCAAGCGGACAACGGCCGCCACTGTCCTGCACCACTTGGGGTGTCCAGTGCGGGGCGGCCGCGCAGGGACCTCGCCGTCGCTCGGGCGTCCGTTCCCCGTGCATGTGTTTCTTGATCTCGGGCGTGTATTTTTCAAGGGCTCCAAACTTCGCGCTTCGCGCTGCGCGAAGCGCGAAGCGCGAATAACTTCGCGCTCTCGCGCCGCCTCCCAAGGGAGAAGAAGAGGCTGAGGAGGAATCAGAGCCGAACCGCGAAGCGCGAAGCGCGAGTAACTTCGCGCCCTCGAGGGCGCCCTTGATTTTTGGCGGGGGTCCAAGATGCTTATCGATGCCCCCCGCCGGAGGAAAAACGCACACGTCCGAGCGATGCCACGGGATCCGGAGGCACTTCGAGCTGCGCTGGGCCCCGCCATGCTACGACCGGGGAGGGGGGAGGAGGAGGAGGAAAGGAGGAGGAGAAGGAGGGGGAGAAGGAGGAGGACGCCGATCTTTCCCAAGGAAGAGGACGAGAAAGGAGGAACCCCCCCTGCACCCACTGGAAGGGATGGGGGCGGCCCAAGCGGCGCAGCGGCAAGCGGCAATATACGTGGGATCACCGCGGGTAAGCGCATGCAAACGTATAGAGGGATACTTGGCACCACCGAGGGAGAACCGGGCAGACGCTAACCTGACGCACACACACACACACCACCGCGAACCCGAACATCCGAACAGACAGACCTAAAAAAGGCTGCGCGCTCTCACGGATCACGGGAAAGGAAAAAGGGAAAGGGAACGAGGGGGGACGGGCGAGGGACGGATGTGCCCAACCCGGGCTCCTGTGCTCCCGCACGTCGCTGGCGCGGCACGGAGGGGAAGGGAGGGAGTGCTCGAACCAGGTGCCACCGAGCATTCCCCTACCTTCCGACCCCGAAGCTCAGCTGGGCACCCCCCTGACGGCGCGAAGCTGGGCCTCTCGGCCTCGGCGCCTCCGAGCTCGCAGGCCACCCGCGAGCGGCGGGTCAGTGCTCGGGCCTTCGCCTCTGCGTGCTCTCCCTCGCCCCTCCTCCAGCTCCCCATTCCCCCTCCTTCCCGATCCGTAGGCCCTACAGCTCCACGGCTGCAGATTCTGGCTGCGAGGAGGCATGCTAGCGTCAGTTGCGAGTGGCATATGCTGCATTCTGCTGAAGCGGGGGGGGGGAGGCAGAAGGCATCGTGGGGAAGGGATGCGGGGCCGAGAGGGAAAGAGGCCGGGCCGGGCCAGCACGCCAGAACAGTACAGTACACCCCACTCACACATACGAACACGTTCAGTACTCAAGCGTACGGAAGCGACGGCCGCAACACAGTACACCCCACACAGAAGGCACCTCCGACCAGCGAGCGCACCGCGAAAGCTCCTGGCTGCTTCCCGTCCTCCGCCCTCGGCGACTTGCGCCCCCTGTTCGTCGATATCTTCCTGATGCTCTGACATCTTCTACAGTCGGGGCGTTGACTTAAGGAACCCTAGACAAGGAACGAGGCCCCTTTTTCCCACAAGTTACGCTTCGATCTCCCATGGAATACCTCGTGAAAACTTGAGGCGAGCTGTAGAACAATCAAGGAACACCGAGCCCCTCCCCAACGAAAAGGGTTCCTTCTTCAGCGCCCCGAGTGTATGCGCACTTCCCAGTCGGTCCTCATCCGTTGCACTCGAGCTCCCTCGCATCCACGTGCCCGCCCTTCCGCTCTCCCGACCTCGCCCTGTCTCGCCCCGCCTTACCCTTTCCACCTGGCCAGGCTCGCCTCACCTCCACACACACACAGTAGTAGTCTCGTCTCGCCCGTCCCACCTCTTCCCCCCAATCCTCCCCAGCTCCCACCCGATCACACCCCCTTTCACCGCTCTCCCCGTCCCCGTCCCCTTCCCCCCTTCTCTTCTCCACCCACGTCGCCCCTCCCATCCTGCCACCCTCTCGCCTCCCCTTCCCCCCCCTCTCCCTGTCGTGTGTTTGTTTGTTTTTCCTCTCTCTCTCTCTCTGCTATGTTTGCTGTTCTCTCCCTCTCTCTCTCTGCCTCTCTGTCCCTTTTTCTCTCTCTCTCTCTCTCTCGCACTCTCCCACGGAAAAAACAAATGAGAGGGCCCGAGAGCGCCGACGTGCCTGCGAGGACGGAGCGCACATGCAGATCGCCCCGCCACAGGCGCCTTCTGTGAAGGGGCACTGGGGCACACAAATCAATAGACACAAATAACCAGCTTCCCCGTATGTTCCCATATTTTCTGGGCTTCTGTCCTCCCCCCCACTTCCCACAGTTTCCCACATTTTCGGGGGGATCGACGATTCATCGTGTCTGTGTCTTTGTCCCCTCCGGATTTCTGCTCGAGGACTCATCGAGCCCGCCGCAGGCGCCAGTTGTTGGTTTTGTTAGGTCGGGCGTGTTCCCCTACAGGCTCATTTTTTGCCGACAAATCAAAAGTACAACAAAAACGGATTCCAACATGCTGAGAATTATCCCGGCAAAGCAACCTAACAGCGATGTGTAGAAGCATATCTGAAAGCATTCCCCTTAAGATTCAGATGAAAATCCAGTTGTCGAATTCTGCTGTTCTCGCAGTCGTAGTCGCATTCGCGATGACAGTCGCAGCGGCAACGGCAGTCGCAGTCACAGCCTCAGCCTCAGCCTGCCTCCTCCTCTCCTCCTCTTTCTCCTGCTCCTCCTCCTCCTCCTCTTCCTCCTGCTCGTCCTCGTTCTCGTCCTCCTCGTCTTGCTCGTCCTCCTCCTCCTGGTGCTCCTCCTCCTCCTCCTCCTCCTCCTCCTCCTCCTCCTCCTCCTCCTGGTGGTCCTCGTTCTCCTCCTCCTGGTGCTCTCCCCCCCCTCCTCCTCCTCGTCCTCCTCCTCCTCCTCCTCCTCTCCTCCTCCTCCTCTCCTCCTCCTCCTCCTCTCCTCCTCCTCCTGGTAGTCCTCCCCCTCCCCTCCTCCTCCTCCTCCTCCTCCTCCTCCTCCTCCTCCTCTCCTGGTCGTCCTCGTTCTCGTCCTCCTCGTCTTGCTCGTCCTCCTCCTCCTGGTGTCTCTCCTCCTCCTCCTCCTCCTCCTCCTCCTCCTCCTCCTCCTGGTGGTCCTCGTTCTCCTCCTCCTGGTACTCTCCCCCCCCCTCCTCCCCCTCCTCCCTCCTCGTCCTCCTCCTCCTCCTCCTCCTCCTCCCTCCTCCTCCTCCTCCTCCTCCTCCTCCTCCTCCTCCTCCTCCTCCTCCTGGTACTCCTCCCCCTCCCCTCCTCCTCCTCCTCCTCTTCCTGGTCGTCCTCCTCCTCCTCGGTCGTCCTCCTCCTCCTGCTCGTCCTCCTCCTCCTCCTGCTCGTCCTTCTTCTCCTGCTCCTCCTGCTCCTCGTCCTGCTCCTGCTCGTCCTCGTCCTCCTGGTCTTGCTCGTCCTCCTCCTCGTCGTGCTCTTGCCCCTGCTGAAAATGTGGCCCAGGAATGGGAGTTCTGGGAAGTCGAAGAGCACGAAGTTGCCTACAGTTGGCTACGGGCATTCAAAATGTGGCCCGGGAATGGAGTTCTGGGAACTCGAAGAGCACGAAGTGGCCTACAGTTGGCTCCGGGCATTCAAAATGTGGCCCGGGAATGGAGTTCTGGGAACTCGAAGAGCACGAAGTGGCCTACAGTTGGCTCCGGCCCTCCAAATGTGGCCCGGGAATGGAGTTCTGGGAACTCGAAGAGCACGAAGTGTGTGACTGTTGCATCCGGTTATTCAAATGTGGCCCGGGAATGGCGTTCTGGGATCTCGAAGAGCACGAAGTGTGTGACTGTTGCATCCGGTTATTCAGAATGAGCCTGGGAATGGAGTTCTGGGAAGTCGAAGAGCACGAAGTGTGTGACTGTTGGTGAAAAACGAGTTCGGCACAGGCCCGCCCGGCAACTCCCAACACCTGCCCGGACCCCCCTGTGGAGTGATCTGTGACCTCTTTTGACACTACTAGAAACCTATCAGTCTTCGCTGTTAGGTAAAAAGAATGACACATCGCCCCCCGCCTATTTCTTAACTACTTAGGAATGTTCCTCCTGTAGAAGGACGTGCCCGACTGAATGGTTTTGTGAAGCAGCATTGGTGCGTTGCGCGTGGGGCGCGAGGTGGGTCACGGGATGGGCGGGATGGGTGGTGGGTCGCGGGTGGGACGCGGGTGGGTCGCGGGAGGGCCGCCCGTGGGGTGCGGGCGGGGTCGGCCACGCGCGGGTTGTGGGCAGGTCGCGCGTAGCGTCGGGGCGCGGTCTGGCCGCGCAGCCGCGGCGACGGACCAGAACAGCAATCCGCACCACGGAGCCCCACTGCAGCCACGTCCCCGTCGCTCTGCTGGATGAGTCTCTCTCTCTCTCTCTCTCTCCATCCCTCCCTCCCTCCCCCCCTCTCGCTCTATGCACACATGTCAAAAGCAGTAGCCGGAAGCCTGAACGGTCATAGGTGGACGCCAGCGCAAGTCGCGCCCTGCGCACAAGTTGGCGCAGTTCTCGCCATCCTGCAAGCACCCGTGGAAGAAATTGATCTGGTCTGCCTCGTGCGCCGGCGCGGATTATCCAAACACGTTGAGGGTCGACGGCGGATGGCAAATGCACCCTCTCTTCTTTCGATTACGGCCAACTGGATACGGGGGAACAAAGATAGAAGGGGCAGGCGGAGGCAAGATGCGGAGGAGCCATGATTCGACTTGGAAGGGGGAGCGCAGTGGCACGGGCACTACAAAGAGGAAAGATAATACGAGCATCCGAGTCCGCGAGCAAGATGCGGAGGAGGAGGAGGAGGAGGAGGACCAACGGCACAGGGAGGAGGAATATGAGGAGGATGACCAACGGCAGAGGACGACGGGCCAGGGAATGAAAAAGGATAGAGGATAATTCGCAAAGAGGTGGACTAGGAAGGAGGAGCGAGAGCAGGGGAGCAGAATGGAGGAGAGCTCGAGGCCAATATGCAACCCGCGATATCTCTGCTGACGCCACGAGCATCGACTTGTGGGCCCCAGCGGCTTCGAGGGTGAGCTCTGACCCCGTCGGTGCGCAGTCTGGAGCCCCGACTGGGGGCCAACTTTGGAGCGGGTCAAAAGGGTGCGTCGCGGGGTCGGTAGCGGGTGGGTCGCGGGCGTGTCGTGGGTGGGTCGCGCGGTGGGGACGCTGACAATAACAACAACAATGGTAAGACCGTTCGCTCCTGTTCGCGTGCCATTCAGGACGGTTTCCCCAAACCCTCGATACCCGCCCATTTCGTCTTTGATCGTGTCCCCTCGGGGGCATGTCTTCCTTACCCGCCGAATGAATTTGGCGCAGACCGGGGATAACAACACAGATGGCAGGAAGGGACACGGAGGGGATAATGATGGAGCACGAGAGAGATCCGCAGGAAGGAGGCTAGGAACAGAAACCAGGTGGCAGAATCCGACGGGCAGATCGGGCGGGTAGGCCGGGCCCTGACGGCCAGCGAATCGCGAGAAAGTCTCTAGCGGTAGCGCGATTCCCACGTGGATCGGGAGAAAGGCGGGAGTCGTTGTTTTTGAAATCCGGGGGCCAGAGGCGCAGTTTGAGCCGAGCTTCCCCTGATAAAAACAAAACAGGGTACGAGCCCCGGGGAAGCATTTCAATTGAAAAAGCACAGTGGTCACTGGAGGAGGGGATCAGCAATACTCGTTTTGCAATAATGAAAGTTCAACGACAAAATCAGCAGCAATAACCACATGTTATAAATCGTTCGCTCTTACACGCTCGCCTGCCATTCAACGCGTAAATCCCAAACCTTCGGTACCGGGCCTCTTCGTCAGCGGTCGTGCCCCCTCTTGGGGTATATCTTCCACGCCTGCCGCGCGTACTTGGTGCAGCCCCTGAAACAGACGAAGAGAGGACGGATGGAAGGGGGAGGGAGAAGGATGGACACAGGATTCGCAGGACGGGGCCCATCGGGCGGGTAAACCCTGACGGGCGGGTCGGGAAGCCGAGCCCACGCGGTCAGATCGAGAGGGCGTGTTGCTTAAGCGTGAGTTTTGCGTGAGTCGCAAGGGGAGCTCGAGCGATAACGCGATTCCCAAGTACATCATGAGAAGAGGCCACTGCGAGAGAGTGATTCCTGATTGTCGAAGGCGCGGCATCCAAATGAATTGCGAGTAAGTCCCACGCGAGAGCGCGATTCCTGCATAACTTGTGGGAAGTCCCGCGCGAAAGCGCGATTCTTCAGAGAATTATGAGGAAGTCTCCAGCTGAAGCCGTTGTTGTTGTAACTCGGGGGCCAGGGGCCAAATTTGGTGACCCCTAGCTTTCTCTTAAAAAACGCGAACCCCAGGAACGGCATTTCAATTGACAAAGAAAATGTGCCCTGGAGTTGAACAACAATAATTTTCGAAATGGGAACTCAGTATCAACAGCGGCATCAGCAGCAGCAGCAACAGCGGCAACAACAACAACAACCACAACCACCACCACACCACAACCACCACCACACCCACCCACCACAAACACCAAACCACAAACAACCAGCAACAAACAAAGGCCATCCGTGGCCGCGGAATCCCACGTCACCCACGCACCAAGGGACGGTGTGAACAACTCTGCCCGATCCCCTCACTCTGATAACTGTTTATGCGTATATCTGTACAAACTTACTAGAACCACGCGCGCTACGCGCGCTTAAGATCAAATCGCGGCATCATGGCGCCAAAGGATGCTACGGCAAGCAGTGCCGTCGACAGCGGATCGCGTTCCAGAGGGCCCAGGCGGCCGACCCTCCTGGAGCTTTGGATTTCTCGCGCTGCGCTGCCGGCAGGAGGCGGAGGCGAAGGAGGAGGAGGAGGAGGGGAGGAGGAGGAGGAGGAGGAGGAGGAGGGGGAGGAGGAGGAGGAGGAGGGGGAGGAGGAGGAGGAGGAGGAGGAGGAGGAGGAGGAGGAGGAGGAGAAGGAGGAGAAGGAGGAGGAGGAGGGGGAGGGGCGGCGGTGGGGAAGGCAGGGGAGGGGCGGAAGGAGGAGGAGGTGGAGGCGGAGGAGGAGAAAGAACTGCGCAGCAACAGCACCAGCAGCAGAGTGAGCAGAATGAGGAGTTGGAGCAGGGTGGAGGAAAAAGAATTGGAAGAGGACCGACTGGAGTTTCCGCGAGCTCCGCCGCGCGCTTTGCCTCGCGCGGCCGCAACGGAGGCCTTGCGGAAGTGTCTGGAGCCGTTTTGTCGGCCAGTTGGGCTGTCTTGGGCCCAGCTTCAGCTGCCTCGGGGTACTCGTGGGCCCCCTTGGGTGCAGTTTGAACAATACGGGTGCCTTGATGGGCCGTCTAGAGGCAGCGTTGGAAGCCTCAGGCGCCGCAGTGGGCGGTTTGGGCTTCGGGAAGCTCTCCTGGAGGCCTCCGGGAGGCCTGCGGGAGACCTGGGGCACCAGGCGGGAGCAGCCTCTGGAGCTCCCTGTAACCCCTTGGGGCTCTGTTGGCTACGGGTCGCCGAGACCTGGTTAAAAAAAAACAGGCATAAGGACAGTGCGCGCCGATCCTCCCATGCGGAGCCATCTGGGGACAAGGTTGGGAGGCTTTGGGGCCGAACCGGGACGGTCTGGGCGTCCTCTGGGGCTGCCGTGCAACGTGGGGGTGCAGAGCAGGCTGCATGGAGAAAAACATGGAAACAACTACGAGAAACCAAGTGCGTGAGCTTTTGGAGGGCTCTCCTGGAAGCCTCTGGGAAGCCTGTGGGAGACCTGGGGCACCAGGCGGGAGCAGCCCCTGGAGCTCCGTGCAAACTCTTGGGGCTCTGTTGGCTTCAGGTCGCCGAAACCTTGAAACAAACACAAGGAAAGTAAGGCCCTGGGCCCCCCATGCGCCGCCGAGGTCCCTGGGCGGGACCCCCCCATGCCATGCCCCCTGGGATATATATATATATATATATATATATATATATATATGTAAACATATATACATCTGTGCATATAATTTCAATCGAGTTTATACATAAACATATACATACACATAGCCATGTATACATCTGTATGTCTGTCTATATATATGTATATATCCATCCATCCATCTATATATACATGTATATACGTATATATCGATATCTGTATGTATAGATGTTGTTTGCATGACACCTTGTCTCCAGAAATGCACCACCGCCGTGCCTGGCCAGGGCCATCCTGGGCCACAGGATGGTCCCTGGGCCCTCCTGGCCTCGGCCAGGAGGACGCAAACACCATGCCAGGGCACGGGATGGCCCTGACCAGGCACGGCGGCGTTGTCAACATACGAAAACATTGTACACACATGGAGACACACATCTCTACCTTCTGCGGAGGCGAGCAGCCGAGCGGGAGCCGCGCCGCACGCCCCCTACGCACACTCCGTGTGACCAGGGCCCCCAAAACCCAGATCCCCGACGTCATGTTTTTTGTTCATTGCATCGACCCCTGCGGGTCTCGACCCATTTCCCCTGGACCGATGTTTCATCCTGAGTCCCTTTTTGACGGCCCCGAGGGCCCGTCAAAAACCCTCCCGTCCTGATTTTTTCACTGCCCGGGGGGGTCTGGGAACCCAGCGGCCGACCGACCGACCGACCGGGGCGGCGCCCGCCCGGCCCAAAGGGACGCCCATCTCCCGAGGAGGGCGCGCGGAGCCGGCGAGCCGAGGTGGCGAGGGGGTGGGCGCCGCCCGGGCGCGGCGCCGTCGGGGGCGCACCGCCGCGGAGGGCGGAGCGCTGCGCTGTGTTCCTCGCCGGCCCAGCGGCGAGCCGACGGGGGGACGGCGAAGGGGGCGGGGATCTGCAGAGGGCCTCCAGCCTTCTGTTGCTCCCACCGTGCTAAGAGGGCCGCATCCCAGAAATCAGGTCGAGCGCCCGGAGAAGGGTGTCGAGAGAGTGTCGAAGCAGTGTCGAGACGGCGTCGGGCGAGCGTCTCCCAGGGCCCGACACGTGAAACCCCCGAGTTTCGATATTTTTCTGGTGTTCGAAATTCCTTCTGGTGGTCAATGCTGAGGTAGGTTGGAACATCATAACTCCAGCCCCTGGCTCCAACTTCTGGGAGGAGCTCGCGAGGCCTTCTCAGGAGGCACGGACGGCATCTCAGAAGGCGCGAGGGCCTCTGAGAGGCCCCGCCGGCTGCCGAGAAGGCCTGGTCCTCTCTCGCTTCCCTCCTGGACGCGCTGCCGAGACAGGCGTCTGTTGGCCGGGAACATCACATCGGAGCATCACGGATCCAAGGCTTCGGCGTCGTTTTGCACGATGCTGCAACGTGTCTTCGCGACGTCCGAGGAGGTCTGTCGCCGCTTCCCAGGCGTGGCCGGAGGTGCCCCCCGGCCCGAGGTGTAGCCCCTCCCCCCAGCGCACCCCTCATGAGGGACCCTGCTCCTCCTCCTGCCCCTCCTCCCCCCCCTCCTTCATCCTCCATCCTTCTCCTCCTCCTCCTCCTCCTTCTCCCCCTCCTCCTCCTCCTTCTCCTCCTCCTCCTCCTCCTCCTCCCCTCCTCCTCCTCCTCCTCCTCCTCCTCCTCCTCCTCCTCCTCCTCGCTCGGGGAGACCAAAAGGTACCGATGCCACTGCTCCCCAGACCTCT